TGTGTGTGTGTGTGTGTGTGTGTGTGTGTGTGTTGGGTATTTTTTCATCAAAAGATAGACAAATAAACAAGCTTTACGGTGATATCAATGACTCTACATGTCCAGAAATTGACACGCGCCTGATTCCACAGCGTCGTGACACAAATACTAAAACATTACCTGCGGTGGCCAAAACAAAATACGTGAGTCACTCACCGTCAAAGGGAATGTTGACCTCAATATTCTCTCCCTTCTTCACAAAGATCTCCTTCACTTTGTCACTGTCGATCTTTGGAGGACGAGGCACTGAAAATTTGACACAGGAATTAAAATGTAAGAAGAGAACAATGATGATAATAATTAAAACAGCAATAACAACAACAAAAACAACAACAACATCAACAAAAACAACAACAATTTAACGTCTCAGCATGAGGCTTTCAGCTTGTCAAAGGACCCATTATATCCTATTTGATCCACAACAACAAGAGCAGCAACTACATCATCAACAACAACAACAACAACAACAACAACAACAACAACAACAATACTTTAATATCTCAGCACAGGGCTTTCAGCAGATCAAAGGACCTATTACATCCTATTTGGATGCACCAGTGTCATTAATTGATTGCCAACTTCTCTTTTCAGATTGTGATTTGAAAGAATAATAGCCGGTTTTGGAATTTAAAAAAGCTCCATACATTTTGAGCATTTTTGACACTGTGGCTAGGCATTGTTACAATAAGAAATTCATTGCCAAACAATAAATAAAAGGTTTGAAACATTCGAGAAGCCCAAGCTTCCTGAAACATCCTCACAGGTAGCACAGCTAGTGGACGGTCGGCCGGTGCTCCAGTGAGGTTTGCTCTTTTTTATCCAACATCTATTGTCCTTATCTCTCCCCCTTCTTTTCTATCCAACATCTATCGTCCTTATCTCTCCGCCTTCTTTTCCATCCAACATCTATCATCCTTATCTTTCCTCCTTCTTTCCTATCCAACATCTATCACACTTATCTCTCCTCTTTTTTTTTTGGTATGTTACTCTTTGGTAACACCTCTAATCCCCAGCACTTATGTAATAATAATAAATAGCATTTGAATAGCGAATAATCCCATTTTACAGCAAGCTCTATGAACTTTACGCTATATTATTACCCCCCAGCAGACCATAGAACACTCTGAAACATTTTCAGCTTCCCGGGAAGATGTGACCTATTTGTTTTGCAGGTGCCATTAAAATCTTATAAACCATTTGAGCCCCAGCCATCAGTACGCAGACAGAACATTATTTATTCTTTTGAAGTTTTTTCTGAATTAGATGTAGATGCTGGTTATGACGAGGACTGTGGGGGGTGGGGGGGGAGGGGGAGGGGGAGGCGGTAGCCTCAGGAGAAGGACAGGGCTCAAATGGTCAAGAACTAGAACCTAACACAGCTGTGTCGCTCTTACATGGGTCCACAGCCACGTTGGCTCGGCATGGGCGATCGCCAATCTGCAAAGTGTATTGTCCGGCATCACCGACGTCCACATCCTTCACAGTCAGTTTGAATACCTCTCCCTTCTGGCCAACATCATATCTGGAACACAAACAAGAAGAAAACTCTTTAATAGAATTTTTTTTAAACCCATAACAATTCAAAACGCCAAACTCCTTGAAGTAAATTCCTCCTCTCCAGCCGTTCTTAAAACAAATTAATTTGGAAAATTGTTGAAAAGAAATTATCTGGGAAAGGTAAGCTTTCAGATAGGGTTCATTTGAGCATACCATTTACTAGATCAATATTTCATTTGCAAAAAATGTTTTTAAAATGCTGGAAGAGAATGCACAATTTCAAAACTAGAAGGCTTTCTTTCAATATTACTACCATAACTGTGGCATAACAACTCCAGTAGCTACAGCTACAACAACAACAACAACAACAATATTCAGCTGGCAACTAGATCAAAATGAGAGGCATCGTGGTGAAATCTGGCGCTCCTCAAAATAACATAATCAAGAAATCGTAATTTTTTTGGCTCCAATGGGCATTTTTTACCAATTTTTTTAAATGGCTCAACACAGTAAAAGTAACACCGGCCTGCCGTTCAGATGTACTGAGCCAGAAATTTTGACTTATAGAAAAAATAGCAGTTTCTTAAGTTATTGGTTACATGTGCGCAAGAAATATTTTGTGGAAATTCAAATAGTAAATGTTAAAAAGCCAAGAAAAGATACATAACGTGGCACACTTTGTCAAAGAATTGAAACAGTTATTCCTTTCCTCTCTCCTGAATAATTTTGCTTTCTAAACTCGAGACATCTGAACAGATTGGCGGCTCTAAGCAAAGTATCATGACATTGTAAAGAGGGGAGAAGAGGACAAACTTGGGCAGATCGGTGTTGATTGGCTGGCCATCCTTGAGCCACTTGAAGGGCAGCTTGTGCGGGTTGGTGGCCTTGGCGTCGAGAGTGATCGTCTCCTTCTCCTTGCACTTCTTGTCGGCGAGTTTCTTCATGAACTTCACGTCAGCTGGAGAAGACAGAAGAGTTGCCTCAGTTTACAACAATCACTTAATCCTTCCAGCCCGAAGCACGTACATTTTCAGCAGCACTTGTACCTCCCACCGTCCCAAGAGCATATTATATTCTCAGTTTCGGGGGGTATCAAATTTGCACATTTTTCGAAATTAGCGTACCTAATTAAACTTTAATTTTCATAATATTAGTTCATTTACTTTTAAACATTGTTATATGTTATCTAAACCTCATTACAAAGATACTACATCATTTTTTAGAAGGCATGCCTTTTTTTCTGAAATACTGCTGTACTGGCTGGGACTGGGGTTAGGGAGTGCACAACAGTGGCTGGGGCTGGAAGGGTAGGAAGAAGTGTGCGATTCCTGGAGAGAAGAGAGAGAGAGAAAGAGAGAGAGAGAGAGAGAGAGAGAGAGAGAGAGAGAGAGAGAGAGAGAGAGA